CTCCACACGTGTCAGGGGGGAAACTCGTCTCGTCTCTCTATCTCGTCCCCTTGAGGTACGGGATCGGGAAAGTCACTTATACTTTACAGTCAAATAAGACACACACAACGAAATACGTTTCAGCTCTCGTCTTAGTCGATCTGTGGAGCACTCTATAAGACACAGCGCCCTGGGGAAAAAATCACCAAGGCTATCACAAGGCTGACCCAAGACTCGCCCAAGACTGGACTGCCTCAAGGCTCGCCCCTGGACTCTCTCGGACTCGTCTGTCGTGGAGTATTCGCCAAGACCAACTCAAACTCTCTTTATTCATTTTCAAACCTCTAACCAATTACAAAACAGTAAAAGACTCTAGGGCGTAACCTTCAATCATAAAGCCAATCACACTAAGTACTGAATACGTCATATCTTTTGATTAATCGTTCCCTACATTAATAACTATGAATATAAACTGTCAAAATGAGTAGTCTAAAAAGCGGTGGTTATCTGGTAATTAGTTCCAAATCACTGAGCCAAGTTCCGTCCAAAACTTCAAATAGACCTAAACGATGACAGACGTAACACAGCAATTCAGCTAATAATCAGTTAATTAAGTCGATTAACAGATACGCGAAAACAAATTCATGACACTACTATGCCACACGATAAATTGGAGTTAGGCATCCGTAATGCTTTTTAATGAAGATGTGTATTGTCCCAGTAAATACATAGTAGTTAGATACGATAGTACCTACTTTGTTAAGGTCAAGTCTACAACCTTCCTACACTAGTATCAGTATGCTGGAATTCCTTATTGACTAAATCAAAATCGACGAGAAATAAGGATTGTGTTTATTCTAATGTAAAAATCAGTTCACACATACCAGTGAATAAAAAGGCATTTGACATTTGTAATGGCCTAAACACAGGAAATTTAACCTGACAAATGTATTAATAATTAATATTTAATATATGGAGTAGGGAAACATCATGGTTTATCCGCATAATTTTCCTAAAGAAATTACTTTCCTGATAATGTCTAAAAACGATGAAAAGACCAAATTTTTCTAGTGATTATGGTATTGAACAGTTCAAATGCTCACGACAAATTCCCGCGCAAAGTTTGTAAGAACCGATGGCTTACATGATATGCATGTCATTTTTCGTACACAATTATAATTTGTTGAAATTACTTTAAACTGGTCAACTTTTTAAAACATGAACTCTACTTCAGACCACTATTACGTATACACGCCATGAATACTCAAACATAGAGACATTTTCAGGAATATTCACCACTCCATAACATGGCACTTATGTTTTGAGTGTTTGGCCAAAAAAATAGATCTGTTCCAAAGATTAAAAGGGCTGAGGGAATTGCTTGCCGTTAGTGGCGCAATATTTTGTTCTTGCATATGTGGACCGACTTAGAAGTTTCATAAAAAAAAAGAAAATCGCATTGTTTTTTAAAGAAACTTTAGACTAGAAAAAGATCTGTTTTGCCTTACTCTGTATTCACTGACTCGTTTGTGACTGACTTATGCTACGCTTATTAAATTGTACTACATCACGTTCAACCATACCTCTGCATAAAGAGAGGATTACGATTCGCTATCATGTGACAATATGTGACCATGGAAACATTCACTTTACAAAATACATTACATTTTGCAATTTATATTTTATTTGATGAATTCTGACCCGTCACCTGCAAGTACTTAACAGCCCACAAAACAAACCAGCAATAGTAGTATAATTGAATGTTAAATACGCGTTAGTCGTAATTCCTTATTGTGGATACGCTGCGGCGGCCATAAAAGCTTTAGCACTCCACCATCCATCACTGCCACCATTGGTCCACCCCATGTGTAGATAGAAATCACGGTCGTACTCCCAGCGCCATTTTCCACATTTCTTCCACCAAAGAAATTTGACACAGATACGATACTGTCGCTTCCTCCACCGATATCTGGTTGCAACAGGATAGTGTTGAGAAAAGAATCCAGAAACACGTCGACCGATCACAGCGGGAATATCGTCATCTCGAATTCGATTACGAGCTTTGTTTCGAATACTGCTGCTGTATATACCAACAAGACCATCTGTCTTCCATAGGTTCACGTGACTTCCTCCTCTCGCAGTAAAGAAGCCTTCGATGTCGTCCATTCTCCACTGCCAGGTGGCACCTTGTCCGAAGAGACAGAACGTATGAAGAATATTTCGTAGTTTCTTAATGTATAAATGTACTTTATTGTTCATCCAATAAGGTGCCATTTCCCATTGGCTGCCTGTAGTTCCATCAGGTCCACTTCTCCAGAGTTCACGTAGTTCACCATTCACGCCATACATGTGTGCCATACGATCGAAGTATCCAAACACCATTGCCCATGCTACGGGGCCGCATCCAGAATAACAACTTCCGACTTTTTTCTGCCAATATTTAGGAAATGCACTCTGCTCGTAAAGAATACTGTGGTAGGTAAAGCTGGTCCAAGACTTATACTGCTTATATCGTTTTTTTCGTTGGGGAACGAGTGGAACTTCTTCGTCATCAACTTCTAGTTCCGGTGGATCTGGTGTTTCTAATTCGATGCCAAAATTACGTACTATTGCTTTGCCTGTCATCAAACGAATTTCGACTTGAAAGCTGATTTCGTTCCCATCGAAGGCGTCCCTCAACATGTTCCGATCTTCCGACAGGGCAACAGCGATAAACTTTATTCCGTTTAATTCGCTAACTTCTATTTTGTCGTCAGTTACAGTTCCGTCATCTTTGCATAGTTGATTGTCAAGCGCCTGATTGCAGAGAATAGCTTGCATCCTCTGGACATCTTCCTCTGTCACGTCACCGCTAAATGAGACATAACGAACTTTGATGCTCTCATGGTCACCACCAATAGCAACGAGTACAGCTTCGCCTATTCGGGTAGAATAAAAACTTCTATTTAGATATTTGTATGGTTTTTTCAAATATTGCTGTGAGTACTGCAACACCGACATGTTTATAATTAATTATAATCACCGTATACATTAACTTCGACTTCTATATATTATTTATTCATATTGGTTGTTTAAATGTGAATACGATTTGAATAAATTTAGGAGTAGTCTCATATCTGTTCAGTATAATAATAATGTCAAATATTCATACGAAAAGCAAACTAAACTACACTGCAGTGAAAACAAATATAAATGATGCACAGACTAGATTTAGAAAATTGTACTAGATCAGCCTTTTGAATTTCGAGTGTTTCTGTCAGTATAATAATTGGTTCTAACGTGTCGACCAGTAATTGACGGATTTCTGTGTGTCAACACAAGCATCAACCGATAGTTGAACCTCAACAAGAAACTTGACAAGAGGTTATTGGAACCCCTTATTTCTGAACAATAAGTAATACGACTGTATGAATGCTTTGTTTAATAATAATGACGAAACATACCGGGATGTATGGCCTGTTCAGCGATGGAAGTTCCGTTATCGATCGTTAATAAATCGTCTTCGCAATCAATTCGGTCATATACAGTGGCAATTTGCCATTGGACACTGTCTTGTTTGAGCCTTTCTGCATGTTCCACCCAATCAGACTCTGCCAACTCATTAAGCTCTTCCAGCATACTGTTGACTTTTTCTTTGGATTCCTTAAAAAACACGAAATAACTAGAACTGTCAATAAAAAGTATTTATTGGTTGAAACGCGAACACTTGTTCGCGGTGAATATAGCGAAAAGCACATTCGTCGGTGATGATAAAGCACACATTTTTATAAAAAAAATTATACTGTCATTAGAACAAAAAACACTTATACCAGAAAATCTATGTGGTCAATATATGCCTCTTGTCTCTTAAAAATATAACTGTTAGTATTGTCAGGAGCACGTACCGTCGAATTGTCATTACAGTAGTCGTAAACCACTGAGGGATCTAGAGTTGTAGCGACAACTTTACCACTGCCATTCTCACAGAACATCGTACCTTCAGGTGCATACATATAGTAACGAACGCATGTCTCTCCGATACTTTTGGCTTCTCTGGCTAGTCTTTGAGTTGGTGATGGTCGGTCACTTTGATGAACGATTTTTGTGTCTCCAGTTTGGGGTCCAGCAGACAAAATAACGTGATCGTTATCATTTACTTCTATCTCCCAGTAAGCGACGTAATCTCTTGGCAAATCCTTGCGATAAATTGGAGTTGGATAATAATCTGAAAATGTAAAAAAACAAACAGTAGAATGATTTTTGTTTCGCGCTTCATCTCGAAACTCGTACGCATGTATGTATAATATTAAAGGATCTCTGGTACGCCGTCGATTGACTAGTTTGACGAGATATATCTCAAGAACTAGGCGGCGTGTGCAAATTTTGAGATCCGATTGTAAAGTAACAATTAAAAGTTAAAATGAACGAACAACGAGAAACGGCCAATCTCATATTTATTCTTTAATTACCCATAGCTTAATCTTCTAAGCAAAAATTACCCGAAAGTATTTTTTGTATGTATCTCAGCTTTCTGAAAACACATAATTTGCCATACTTACGTGATTAGTAACTGCTGGAGAATGCCCTAATTCCGCATCCTCTTTTAAATATACTACTAGCATATTTGTTTGTTCTTGTGTTTATTTGTGGGAAACTCACCGTTCTCTGTACGGGCTTGGAATTTTAGCGAGTCTTCCAGCTGAAGTAGTTCATCTTGTGTCTCCCATGATAGTGGAATGCTTTTGGCGTACTCAGGTATTTCTTGGACGTACGCAGCAGTGTCGATTACAGAGTCAAAGTTGTCGGAGTTGGCTGAAATAAAATCTTGAGCATGGATAGAGTTCGCCAGAAGGCAAACAAAAAGAACTCGAAAAATCATTTCTGGAGCTTGTCCTGATGCGGACTGGTAGTGTAGCGCGAATTGGAAAAATATTTATAACAAATCACACGGTAGGAAATCTTTGTACATGAAATGGGTTAACTTATGGTAAGAAATATAACATCTGGTATAGTTGAGATTGTTTGTATTTCTTTACGTAATTTCATTCCTTTTCATTTGTTTTTTTATTAAAATGAATAATTAGTTAAAGGCAATGTTGTCGGGTTTCTAATTAAATACCCATATTGACAACAACAACATCAAACAACTATTGCGAGCTGTAGAAAGAGGCTTGTATAAGACCAAATGGCGTATTCATTGTATTCCAGTAATTGATTCTAATTCAATTAACATGGCAACAAGACAGATATGTGCACTATGAATTTTAAGCTTACATATGACAAAACTTGCGTTTGAATGCATTCACACAGTTAATTAGAAAAAAGTTCCACAGACAAACTATTATCGATATAATAAACTTATATATTTTCTATGGCTGTATATATTGACCTGGCTCGAGAACCACGGTTCGTGTTACCCTACATATCTAATTCGGTTACGTGCGCATAATTAAATTGAATAATATTTAATCAAGAACTAAATATACCATATTTATATGGAAACAACAGAATTTTCTTGATTTTATTTCTACCTCATACTGTATCATTGTGCATTATATTTCGTTGCTTGTTTATCGAGAACGATTGACGTTATACCGGACTAATATGTATCGCGTGAGTAGATTCGTCACGTATACTATATCTATATATTATATATTATATTACGTTGTATGAAAACAGTGTTTGAAAGGGTTTGGCCGTCATTTAATACGTATTTGATTATTCACCTGCTTCTCTAGTTACCATACACGAATTAATTAAATATTGGGCATAATGCATTGAAAACTCACAATTTCCACGAATTCCGAAATACGAAGTGTGAAAAGAAGCGGTATATAGTTTAATCACTCATACTCTAGAATGCCATTTCCGTCACTTGTCACAGTGGTTAGTTCGCGACACATGTTTCCAACTTCAATAGTAAATTTTTGAAATTTGGTAATTGTCAAAATTCTATTGGTTTTGCCGTGGTCGATAGCAATGACTCTGCTTTTTTTTCATTGTTTTATTGTAAGTTCGATTAAGCGTCTGGGTGAAATGTGAACGGAATTTTGTTTTCGACAGATTTCGGGCAATTACTGGGAAGAAAAAAAAGAATAATTTGGTTGCCAGTTGGCCGTGTCCATATTGTAAATAGAAATATCGTAACCACATAAAAATGACTAAATCTTACTGAAATATTGTTTTAGACACATTTGCATGGGCTAAGTGACCTTACACAAGGATCGAGTAGATGTTATTTTTTTAAATCGATCACGTAATGGAAACCGTAGAAAAACATAACGCACGGCGTACACTATAGAACGTGAAATTATAAACTGCATAACAAGGGTCACGTGACATTCTGTGGTGCTGCCTAGGACTGATGGTACGTTG